GATTCCAAAAAATTTAAGGACTCTTAAGGACTGTACGAACCCTGAAGATAGCTTTACAGAAGAAAAGTCTCTCAGTTGCAAAAATGCATCCTGCCATTCCAGCATCTCAGAATAATCTCTTTTAGGTTTTACTGCTTTTTGACGAGTAACGGTAACACCGCAGGGAAGAAGTCCATTGCTTCAGAATACTTTCCCTTGCAGCACAAGAAAACTGGCTAGCAAAACAGTTGAGAGGGGGCCATTAATTGCAAATACCTGCTATGATAGCACAATAACTTTCTTCTCTATAAAATCACAAAACCATGGCAAGGTTTTTGCTCTAATAGGTAAGCACTGCTTCACCAAATTTCAAGCTATACTTTGAAGTAAAATCATTTAATTATTTATGCTTTATTTAGCTTACTGATTGCTGATAAATTACTTTATATATATTTATATAAAAACAAATTGTTGCTACAACTGATTTGCATTTTAGCCCATAAGCTGCAGGTTTTTTACAATTCTCAAACTGTTTCACTAAATTTGATAGCTTTATAACTTCATTGAATTCTCACCATATTTTCAGGTGTCTCATATTTTTTAGCTTTATTGAATTGGTTCAAGCTGATGCAAAGAACATACACCTTAAAGCAGGGGTTCCCAACCCTCTGCCTCTGGGCACCACTGAAAACAAATTTGAATTTCTTTACTGGCAACTGTTTAATGTCACCGAGAAGCACTTTCATTAGATATTGCAACAATGGAAGGAAGATACAAAAACAAGTGCAACAATGTTAGTTGATTTCTGTCCTGGCATTAAGAATGACGAGGCACAAGTTAGCTACAAATGACAAACTAAAAAGCACAACCATTTTCAAAGTTTTAAACATAGTGTTTTGTCTAAATATTCAATACTATTTTGTTATTCTCTACTGTGTTTATTTGCATAAAAGAATTGCTTTAGTAAGAGAAATGATGATTTTAAAATTTTGTTGTAAGTTCTAAATAAGATTCAGTTTTATAAAATAAAATGCATATTTGTGTTCAAGAGGTGATATCTAGCAAAGAAAAATGACATTTCACTTTTTTTTTAAATACGGCAAATCTTCAAAATACAAGCAAAATATTATTTGGAGGTTGTAACATGAATTCTGCTGCAACTTTTAAATAAGAGCTAATATCAGAAAATAAACTGCATGTTCTAAAGGTGAAATTTAGTAAGAAAAAGCTTATTCTATTTATGCAATAGTAAAAAGAATGAAAATTTGTGGAAATGCTTTCATATAATAGCATACAACCCATTTATATCAAATTATCACATATATTGAAGCATTTACGCTAAAATACTAATTTAAAATTTTAAAAGCATTTGTGAAAAATTACATGGTAGAAATTCATAACAAATGTTTTTTAAAAATTGAAAATTATAAAATTTTATTTATTTATTTATTTTATCTGCATTTGCTCTTTCACTGAATAGTGTTGGTCGTAAGTGAAAATGAACTGAAAGGAATATGATACGAAAACCCATCATCAGATAGGTTACTTTGAAACCTCATTGAAATTCTTCTAATTTGACTTTCCTTTATGTGATTCATGTGTAAGTTAAACAATCACTGTTATTCTAAGACATTTTTCAATCAATCTTGCATTAAAAAGATAAAGATCTTTCTTTTGATAGAAGTTAGAAATTATATGTGCATAATAAGGAGTTAATGAAAAGTATTACTGCATGATATTTTAAATCCAACCTCTAAAAACTGGAAGAAAGAAAGAGAAAAAGCTGATGTGTACACCCCATGACTCCCTTGTATGGAATATTAAATTATATGCATTTTTTCCTGCATTTCAGTTAAACTTATTGAATTGAATTACATCTACTTCATTGACAGCACATAAACCCAAATCGAATAAATGAAAAAAATTCACTATATTTATTTACCATAGAGACACTCTGGCGCTAGGTTCAGTTAACAGTGTAACAACTGACTCATTTTATAACTCAGAATGCACAAAAATTATATCATCTGAAGAATTATCTAATCATTGCCACATGTTTTATTCAAATACTATAATAAATTTAAAACGATGTATAAAAGAAATTAAACAAATAAAAAAGAAAGAGTTTTTCACAGACGATTCAGCGCCACTTATCTAATGCCCATGTGCTACTTGTAAACATTCTCCTCTGTCTGAGACAGATTGGCAACAATATTTGCTGCTAATACAAAATACTTATTTCTTCGAATTTCATTAGAGATATATTTCTCATTCAATTAATTTAGCTCTCACTTCACGGCACAAAATATTTTCATTAAAAATTTAAAGATATACGAAAACATAAAACACCAAATACAGTTAAAACAATTTTTACAGTTAAAATTACAGTTATGTAAAAACAAACAATTCAGCCAGCAGGGAAGAAGGTAGATTTTTCAATGCACAAAACTAAAAGTTTCCTTTTGGTCCAACTCAGCAAAAAGACACTGAAGGTGCAGAAAGAATTAATTCACTATTCTGCTAAGTTTCAAATGTAAATAAATATGGCTGCTATGGTAAAAAAAAAAGGCTTAACCAAACTTAAACTTTTGAATTGTTAGCAATTCTACAAATATTGCATGCAGATTAACTAAAGGCATAAAAATCTTAACCGGTGGATAATAGCAACATAATTCAATCATTTTTAACCCTTTGACGAGCGGTGGTTGCGCCATTTTCCGAATTTTTTTTTCCTCTTTTTTCCGAAATTTTTGAGTGAAAATGAATTGATTATTTTGATATTTTACATCTAAATAGCACAAAACGACTGTAGAATCAAATATGTTTTAGGTATTAATACTTCAGATCAGATGCCTTTTAAAATTCGTTTTCGATGAGACAAAATAACTTCCTTTTATTAATATAAGCAACTTTAATTTTCAAAAGTTAGTCATCGCACATCATGATTTCTATCATAAACAATAAAAAATTGCAGTAATTAAACTGCATATATTAAAAAAACCCTCTATATGTATGGCATTTTCTATGTGGTTTCAGGGCGCGACCACTACGCCACTAGAGCATTGTGTCACAATGCTCACAATCCTCTAGAGGCTCGGTGGTCGCGCCTTGAAACCACTGGAGTTTGCTTCTCAATGGCGTTCACTTGCTTTTCAAATAGGAATGTTTATTTTTACCCAGATATAGATAAAGGGCTTTGAAACCACAGAGTTATTTTATTACTACACAATACATGCACCTGCTCAGTAAAAAGGTCTTTCTTTTTCAAATACTTTTCTCTGACATCAACAGACTTGCTCCCCAAGCTAGTATTGTGATTTTATAAATTATTTCCTATGGTTTAAATTTAATGTAAATATACTTTGATATAATTAAAAATAGAAATTGTGTAAAAGTTTGATTTATATTAAAAATATTTTCTGAATATTTTGGGATGAAATACGAATAAAATAAGTATGAATGGGAAACGAACGATCCATACAAAGCCAAAAAGACCAAGCCCCCCCCCCCATTAACATAAAAAAAAAAAAACAACAAATTTCATGAACCAGATGAAAAGAAACTAAATAACGCTGGACATATACCAGTGAAATTTAAATCCAGGCAGTGTACATTTTATAGCACAAGGAAGAAACCTCATAGAATAAGATGTATGTGCAAAACGTGCAATGTGGGTCTATGCATGTACCAAAGAGACAAAACATGCTTTGAACAGTGTCACAAAAAATATTTGTTCTTTGAAAAAAAAAAAAAAAAAGTATGACATGTAGTAATTCTTTTTATCCTTATTTTATTGAGTTTTTTTAATCCATTTATCCAAATGTCCTTATTATGTAGGTACTTATATTTTTACTGCTATAGAAAAATTACATAAATGTTTATTTTTTAATTTTTTTCTGACGATTTACTTTGTAAAATAATGTAAAAAAAAATTATATATAATGCAATTCTTACATACATTTTTTTTTTAAATCCGTAAATTTCGTCATTTATTGGTAACACGAGCGGAAAATGGTAAGTTTTTTTTTTCCTACTACATCAGTAAGTTTAAAAGTCCTAGACGCGCGGTGGTTTCACAGTGCGACCACCACCCACAGAACAATGGGCAAGAGTAGATTTTTTTAATTCATATATTATTTGTCTCTAGGATCATAATATTCAATTTCTAGAGTTTTTATTTAAAAAAATTATAAAAATAATATTGCGCGCATCAAAGGGTTAAAGCAAAAAATGCATAATTTACCAATATATAAGAATCAAAACACTGAGCCAAGTAACAGAGTGGGTATATATATTTATATACTTTTGGTGCGGCCGATTGCAATCAAAAAAAAAAAAAAAGTGCACTACTACATGTTATAGCAGTCCCATATACAAAATTTCAACATTCTGACACTACTCATTTTTGACTTATGCGAGATACATACGTAGGTATATACAGACACCATGAAAAAAATCTCTTCTGAATCCATTTTAAATCAGTTTTATAATTCGTTTGGGGAAAAAGAATCCTTTACTCTGTGCTTATGTACAGATGTCACACAAAAACATCATTAAACTGCATTCGATCCATTGTGATTAAAATGGATATTTTCGTTGAAATATGGTACCCAGAATTTTCCGTGATTACAATACTTCCGGTACTTCATACAAGGAAATAAAAATTAAATGAAAATCATAAGCCTGTAACATTAATAATGCCCTTGATGAATAACACTTGCTCATGACAATATAAAAAAGATCTCACATAAGCAATATGTAGATCCTTTTGAAATGCTTCTATCTTCCATGTCTTATTTCAGTACAAAAATAATTTAACAATACATTTTGTTATAAAGCATTTACACATTAATGATCACTAATCAGTATTATTTCTTTCTCAACCCTATCATAAGTTACAACTTTCAATAATTCTTCAATTATATATTTAAAAAACATATTCAAGTATTTGTTATATATATACATACACACACACACATATGCACATATTAAAAATAAATATCTGAACGTTTCAAGCTTACATTTGTTTGAGTTGAGGCATGTATCAGTGTTTTAGGAACTAGAGAAGACTTGACATCAGGAAAAGGGTTCATACAGAAAAATGTGTCTTGACCTATGAAAGGATATAATCTTAATTTTCACATAAGTTTAAATGCATGCAGAGAATTCATTTAAATATTTTATCAGCTGTAATAATCATAATCTTGCAAACACAATTTTATAAATGTATTTTATTTTATATATACATATCACAAAATCGTGCTCACCAGCCACAGACCAACCCCTTTTACTGTAGCAAATGAAGATGTCTCATAAAACTTTCTTCAGTCGAATTTATCTGTTTGTAACGAAAGTTTACCACCAAAAATCGTTCTTAATAAAGTTAGAAAATAAAAACATGAAAGGTGTACCTTTAGTGTAGGTAGTAATTACCACCCAAATCTATGATTTTCTGCCAACATTTTGGTAGTTTTTCAAAGTCTTCGGCCCATAAATTTGGTGGCCGTCTAAAAACAAATCAACTTCATTTCGGATGTCGTGTGCAGAATGGAAGCACCACCAAAATATAGCTTTAGATGTGAAAAAAGGTAGAAGTCCGAAGGAGCGTATGGTAGTTATAGCAAAAGATCCCATTCGAGTCCGTGCAGAGTCCAGCTGGTGAATGCAGATACATGTGGCCTTACATTACCATGATGGAACATTACCTTTTTGCAATGGAACTCAGTTCGAAGTTTTTTCCTTTATAAGCAGTGTCAACATGGACTAGCATCTCGCTGTACACGTTGTTGTCAAGGGTTTTACCTTTTTCTAGATACTCTTTGTGGATAATACCATGGCAATCCCATCGGATACAAAGCATGATCTTTTTTATTGTCAAATTGCACTTTGTGAAGCTGCCTGCAGGCTCACCAGCCACAGACCAACCCCCTTTTTGGCTGTGTTATTGAAGTATGTATTTACTTCAATAACACAGCCAAAAAGGGGTTTTCACGTTTCATCACAGGTGGTGGAATGATCCAGAATTTTAGCCTTGCACTGATATTCGAGCAGATTAGCACAGAACTCATCTCTCCTTATCTGCTTGAGTCAGCTATGCGGCACCTAGCAATTAAACTTGCACATCAAGTTTATGCCATATATAGCATGACTAATGGACATGGCACTAATGTCCAACTCCTTAACAAGCTCTCAAGTGGTTGCATATTGATCTTCCACAAGTTCTTGTGGGCGGGTCTCATTAACATCAGTAGGCTGACCAGAGCGATCTGATTCTTGAATGTCATAGTCCTTGTTTTTAAACTTTCGATACCAAACCTTCATAGTGTCATATGATACAACATTAGTACTTAAAGCTGTACACACATGATTTGCTGACATTCTGTAGCTGAGTTTTTGCAAAAGAACTGGAAGTAAACAATGGTTCTAATCTGGTAGTGAGATAGTTCAATTTCAGACACCTTGTACTTAATGATAACTAATTTTTACAAATTTCGCAAGACAGTATTCTAAAGCAGGTTTCTTTCTTTCAAATGCCACAAATCATTGAACAAAATATGATTAAGCATACCAACACGAACTGTTTACATTGATGATATTTGCAGTGGTGGGAAACTTTCATTAAAACCCAATAAAAAAATGCTTTAAAGACTTCCAGCAATCACTTACAAATTCTAGACACAACTCTTAATTTTAATTCTTTATTTTTTCAATTTTATGGTGCAACGTTACGAGTGTCTTTAAAAATGAAATATGGTTTAAAATTGCAAATTTTTTTGAAATACTAAATATTCTAAAGGAATAGATTTTTCTAAACTACTAACATAAATTGGAAACATGTTGTTGTTAATAAATCAGCCAGTTATTCAAATAATCTTCAAATCAAAGAAATATGATAATATTTCATTTCAGTGAATCTAAAAATTAGTATTTCTAAAGTGGTGTTTTTGATATCTCTATCAGCAAAATATTCCTTAACTATATTAAAATTTGGTTTATCACCAAGCAATGACTAGATTTTTACTGTTGACACTGTACAGACATGATCATTAATGTGAAATATTAAATTAAAACAATAGAAATTATTAAAACAGAGATTCGCTTTTAATTGTAAAATTTGAAAATGCACATTATACTTTCTTAGTTTTAATTTTTCATTGTATGAATATCAGTGTTAAAGAAATTATAAATTATTAATGATTAATATGAGAGCTAATTTATGATTTAAAATAATGTGCTAAAATCCTTTCTTGAATAAACTAATGCATTATTTTCTATCAAAAGAGAAATAAAATGAAAATTTGTATGTGGAAGTAATGAGATGCTTTTAAAGGTCATATTTTATGTTTTTCACATCAACTGTAATGAGTCTTAAATTTATAGATAACATGCACATATTTTCTTGCAAAAATTTCAAAATATGGTACACTGACAAAGTAATTTAGTGCAATAAATAGTTAATATATTGTATTAACTATTTATTGTACTAAATACTGTTTTTGTGTCTGTAAAAATAAGATGTAACTCATGAATAATACCACTTGTATAACTAAAATAAAATTTTGAAATGTTATAATTGAAAAAATACCTTTTGAGAGTAAATTATTCTTTATTTCTTCCATTGCCAGTATTTCTATATATTTTAACCAATCATGAGAAATTTTACATGCCGTTTCTGAGCTGTCTATGTTTGAAGATCCACCCCAAGTCATTCGGCGTTGAGTTTTCTGAAATAACTAGCATAGGTTTTTGAGTTATTCAAAGAATGTGCAATTTATTTCTCTGTGCATTAATGATCTATAACTTCTATATAAAACTATATCAGTCTTAAAAACTAATCCTTATTATAACAAATACCATAAATAGAACAGGAATAACAAAACATGAATAACATTTTTTTACATTTTTTTTTTATATCTATATCTATATTATATATATAACTTTTCAGTCAATCACTTTTAAAATTAATTCCTTTTAATTGTAACAGCTTAAGTAGCTTTAACAAATATTTATATTAGCTTTTTGCTTCTAATTTGACCAATTGTTTATTCTCGTTTCTAATTTTAAAATTTTTTATTTTATGTTGTTTAAATTTTATACAGTTTTTTGTTTTGGATCATGTTGGAGAGATTAATCCTGATGATTTTTATTAATAGACACAATTAAATTTATACTTTATTTGATTGCATTTTTTTAATTGTATTTAACAATTTTTAAGACCTTATTTTTATTATATTATTTTGTTGTTTTTTTAATTTTTTTCAATTTAATGCACATTTTATGCATGTTAATAAATATACTGCAAAATATTCTTATAAACTGCATATTAATTTCGCATGATTTTTAATAATTTATAATCTTAATTTTATACATTGAAATTATATTATATAGACATCAAGCTTTTAATCACAATTACAAATCAAACAACAAATTGCTTGAATATATGAAACATCATTTTACAAAATTATAGAGACATTTCATGATTTATTTTATACAGACATCTTACAAATTCATTGATACTTTTTATCAGATAGAAAATGATGTAAAATGGAGAAGTTTACAAGGTACATGACTTAAAATTTGCAATGTTTATCTTTTCATTCTACTGAGAAAAAGGTTAATCTAAATCCAGAAAACACTTCAAACTTGTCTTATTATGGATGGCTTTTAACTCTGCTTCTTAGCTCACGCACACAGTAATTTGGAAACTTTCTTATGTTTTTGATAATATTTTTTTATAAAATATTAATTTAGTTTTCAATATTTGGCAACATTCATGTTATTAACTCAGAAGAGATTAATTGAGCTTCTTTGATTTGTCATCAGTTGAAAATATTTTGTTTTATGGTGAATGCTCTTTAATATTGATCTTTTGTGTGTTTCCTTCTATGCATATTTTAGAAATATTCGACATTTAGAAATATAAAACATCCAAAAATTTTTACTTGTATCAGTTATAACTTCTAACATTTAAAACGCAGCATTTGCCACTGAGCTGAGAAGTAATTTTTTAAATGCTGCATTTAATATCAATCAGAGGAAAATCATTCAAAAATTGTATACTTGATGACAATGCATCTTTATATTGGTCAGTGCATACACAGCAATTTTATGCTCAAAAACAAATGTATTTGCTCCATCCTACCCCTTATTCTCCAGATTTGGCCCTTTGTGACTAATTTTCTCTTTTCTAAACTTAATTTCCTCTCTGAGAAAAACCTCCCAAAAGTGAAGGAATCCAGAGACATGACATCCAGAGACTATTACATGCTGTCTTCACCTCATACCAAAAATAAACCCCTTAAAGTTTCCTGATTATGGCACTTTTGCACTGATATAAGATGACTGAAATTCAAGTAAATCTGCAATTTTTTTTTAATTCATTCTTATTAATTAATTGCCTTACTATGTGTGTGCATGGGCCTTCGTATATGTAAATAAATACAGAGTAAAAACTAGTTAAAAACCTAATCTAATTGCACCCTTATAGCAGCAACAATTGCAAGTAAGAATGCAATATGGATTGAATTATAAAATATTTTTTATTTAATTTTGCATTATATATTTCAATAGATATCATTATTTTGAATCTTACATTGTCTATGTTAGAAGCAAATAATGAAAAAGGAATATTTTTCACATCTTGACTATGAGAAGTTTCTTCTGCTTCAGTTTTATTCGCTTCTTTAATAGCCTATAAATAAAAGAAATCATAATGTTTAGGCAGTTTATCAGAAGTTTAAATGAATTTTACAACCTTTTTTAAAATGCATCATACCTCCAATTCTTCTGTCAGTTTTTTTATTTTATTTTCATAGGCTTTCATTAGTGCTTGTTCATTTAAAATTTCATTGACCTTGGGGTTATTTTTTACACATTTTGCACGAGATGCAAACTGAAATTTAAATAAATAAACAAATTTAATAAAAAAATTACATTTTAAAATTTGTTTAAATAATAACAAATGAGGAAAAATGGGGTTCTAAATCCTAACAACAGATAATATTAAAAGTACTGCAACCAAACTCAGTTAAAAAGCTTTTAATTAAAAACCTTTTCTGCATAAAATTGTTGGTACTTTCTGATTATCCACATCCCCACCAAAAAATTTGAAACTCATTTGTAAATTTGGACAGCATTCACGAATTCATTAGCGACTTTTAGGAGAAATATATGTCTGGATATCTTTACATTTATTGGAATGATGTATCCAGCATTGCCAATTTTTTACTGTCTTCTTTTACCATGCAAGAAAAGTACACTTCCTTTTGCTCTGTTGTTTTTCCCATATGCAAAGCAATCTTTTTTACTATTTTCTTCATTAAAAAAAAGAGAGAGAGAGAGAGAGAGAGACTCCCACAAAACTAGCATCAAAATCCCAAACTGAGAAGGAAAAAAAGAGGTACATAGTGTCATTAATCCTTTCGCCGTCCTCCCCTGTCCGCAAAAATTCCCCCTAAAAGCCGTCTGTTTTTCGTAGCGTGTACTGTCGTTTTCTCTGTACATCATAACTTTCCATACATGACTTTCATAGTGGATGAAATAGTTCAATCAATATTAAATAAAACCATAAGGAAATAAAGCATAATGGAAAAATAATAAAATCTCTGCTTATTTCTAACAGCAGGATAATTTGATAACATCTGATCCAGGCGGTCCCCTCCTCCCATTTTGTTGTTGTAATCTTTTATAATTATTGGTTTTTTTACAGTTCTTTTCGGTGTTCCAACATCAATCATCAAGTTATTATGGACTGTACTCATCAAACATATATCCTTCTCGTCTTTCGAACTCACAACCTCATTTTTCTCTTTTTCTGCTGAGAAGACATCGAAGCCATCTCTCACTGTCTTGTATCTTATGTAAAATGGCACGAATATTCATAAAACCCGGGGCAAATTCAATTAGAAATAGAATGCCTGATTAGTGCTACTTTCTAGGAGGTATTAAAACAAACAAAAATAAAAACTCAAACAAGTAAACATTTAGAAAGCATTTTAAACGTTTAAAAGGTTTAAAATGTAGAAGAACGCTTGAGGCGCATTACGGCCGCCCCGGAAGTTTCACTTGAATGCGCTAGACGCGTTACGTACGATGAAGAGGTTAAGCAGGCCACAATATAGTCTATGTATACAGAAAGCTAAGTCCAAGATTTTGCCAAAAGCAATGAAAACTGCAGTATGTGGACCACTGCTGTGCTAAAACACTGAAATTCCCACAGGAGGGAGCCTAACATGCAGTCACACTGGTAAAAATGTCTGGAGAAGTGTAAAGGTATCTGGAGGGGGGGGGATGCTATGCGCATATCTGGGTTGCCATACATCTTTTAGCTTTTCAGTAGGGATCTGGATATAATCATAAAGTAACAAGTTTTTATTTTATAAAGTTTTATTCACCCTTGTTTTCAATATCTGCAATAAATCTAATGTTAAATTTGTTTCACATGGGGAATTCTTATCTACAGTATTTCTTTGTGCAAGAACAAAGTATTTCGTTCCTGCTGTGACTTTTATCATTTCAGAAAAATTTACAAAATATTTTTTTCAGATGCCAAATTCAGCAATCTTTTTGAAAGTTAGTAAAGGAACCCTAGTCTTTTCTTGTTTTTGTTTTCAAGAAAATGGACAGTCTGTCCTCTTAAAGACACTAGAATAGTCATGATGTTATAAACATATTAAAGGATTAAATAAAACTTCTTACAAAAAACTCATTTATATTAACTTCAAAATATATCATGCAAAAAATTAAAATTACTTCATTCTTTAAAAAAATATAATACAAACTAATAATTTTAATTACCACTCATGCAGCCAATCAAGAGACTCGGACCCAGTTCTACTTACCAGTGTACGTTGATCTTATCCACTCGACTATTGTTAAGCACTGTTTTTGTGTACTCTTTATTTACAGTATGTATTTCAATGAATCAAAGAAATATTGTGCCTTTAATATACATATTTCAGATTTAGTTTAAATAAGGCACTTACACTCTAAGTTAATCATGGAACTAAACATTACAAACAATAATTATATTAATCTATTCTTTATTGCACATGTAAATGTTTTGCTTGAAAAATTTTGAAAATACATTAGTTTAAAATTTTTATTAATCAGTATGCAATATACCAAGAAATGTCTTTTCTGTAACAAATTTTCATATCTTAAATGTTTCAAATTAACTAATTATAAATTAATCATTTGGTGATATTCCTCTAAAAATTGCTATTAAGTTAGCCAAGTTCTAAAATTCCATATTCCTCAAGCTAAGCTATTTGCATATTAAAAACAGTTGCTTAAAAAAAAGTTTCTACCTATGTGTTTCAACATATGTGTTTTTATAGTTATTCTTGTTTACACACATAGGCACACACACACACCTAGTTCCCCTATGGATCTCGGTATCTGTCTAGCTTCTCTTTCACAGACCCCAAAAAGCGTGGCAGGTGCATAGTTGAAAAATATCCCGTAATTGTATAAAATATAAATCATAGAAATATCCTTATATTAATCAATCAATAATTAATCAATTTAAACATCGTACACATACATCGTACCCACTTCTTTTATAACTTCTACTTTTGTTAGCAAACACACACCCTGGTTGCTTAACTACCATGTACAGTGTGGCAAAAAGGGACAGTTCTGTATCTCCCGCCATTCTACTGGGCCAATTGACGAAATTCATTTTGTGTTTTTCCTGGTTTGAAAGAGCGACTTAGCATATGTATTAGATTTACATATAGCACTGTTTTAATTTAGGTATTTTGACACAAAATCGGACTGTTTCTCAAATGACATGCCAACATTTTTCCATATTTTGATTCTATGACTCAAATTATGCCAAACTGCCCAAGTTTTGTAAAAATCACATGAGTAGTTTTTAAAAAATTAGCTCTCAAAATTTTAGCTCCTCAACGTTAATTGAATTTGATATATATTTATTCATATCTCTTTTTTGATTAAACTTATTCGATTCTTCCTTTAACATTTTGAAATTTAGTTTTATTCCAAATAAAATTTCGCCAATTTTTTATGATTTATTTTTCAAATTTGTATTTTTAAATAAATTTTATAAATGTTTCAAAAGACATTTTGAACTATAACCTATAAACGTTTTCCATCATCTTAAAGTAGATGTATTTCTAAGCATACCTGAAAAAATTAGAGTTTTTTTATTCAAAATTTCCTAATATATATGTCGATTTACATTTTGGCACATTTTTAAATTTGGCGTATTTATTATAAGCGATAATAACGAAAATGCGGTTTACGCACTAACAATTATTTGAAAGTATGAACGATGACTTTTTTCCACTTGTGGACACTGAAGAAAAATAAAGGAAAATAGGTTGTTATAAATTAAGAAGTTTGCAAAGTGAATTATTCTTGGCGCAAACTAAAAAAATTCATCAAGATAAATTTTTAAATTTCTCACAAAAAGTTAAAAAATTTAATATATAAGCATAATTTGTGTCGTAGAATCGAAAATTGGCATGCCATTTCAGAAATTAGAAAAAAAATTGGCATGTCATTTCAGAAAAACTCCGATTTTGTGTCAAAATACCTATATTAGAACATAGTTACATATATAAATCTAATATATATCCTAAGTCGCGCTTTCAAGATATTGAAACGTAATTTGAATTTCGTCAATTGGCCCAGTAGAACTGGAGATATAGAACTGTCCCATTTTCTCTTTGCACAGTGTACATAGCTGTCAATATCATTCACTGCAGTTTTACCAGATCATTATACATATTATCAACATTTAGGATTGTTGTTGACTAATGCTCACTTGTATGATCTATAGTCAGCCCAAGCCCCTGAAATTCATCATGGCATGAAGCACAAGTTTACGCCTTGAGCACCTTATAGGTGACAGTGCAACTTAGTTCAGTTCTGCCCCCAATTTTCATGAAGAGCACCCCGGGTGGGCAGGGCCGAGGATCTCCCACCCCTCTTCCCCTACCATCAACTCTCGAGAGGACTTTCGGATCACTATATGTTTAGAGTGCCATCATGCACCATGCCACTTGGACACTATTCATTTACAAACATCCATGCCTTCTCCGGGATTTCAACCCTGGCCTACAGCATGGCAGTCAGCAACACTAACTACTATACCATCTGGGTAGCACATTTAGGATACTTTTGACATGTCACTTTCAATAGTTTCTTAGATATTTTCACCATATAATGCAAAATTCAAACTTTGACTTGAATCAAATGACAAAACATCTATGTAACCAACCTGTTATCCATCCTTACAATGATTCTAGGAAAAAACCTACAGCAAAAAAGCCCACAGGAAAAATTCTCACAGGTATAAATGCTCACAGAAAAAAGCCCACACAGAAATACGCCCAAATAAAAAAAAGCTCACATTGAAAAATGCTCACTTAAAAATATGCTCACACAGAAAAAACCTCACATGAATATATATACTCACATGGAAATAAGCCCACTGATAAATAAAATACGTAGAAATATCCTTATATTAATCAATCAATAATTAATCAATTTAAACATCGTACACATACTTAATTCAGGGTTCGTACACATTTCTGCACACAGAAATTAAGAACCTTTAAGGACCATTAATGTAAAACATTAAGGACCTATCAGCAAATGGGAACTGAATAAATTCATCTGTAAGTAGGAAACATTATTATTAAACATAGCTTAACATAATTATTAATACGTTTGAGATAAAATAATATTACGAAATTTATAAAGTAGCATAAATATTTTACATTATATAACTGGATATTTGAAAGAAGATAGTGAGTTTAGTTACGTTTATAACAGTTAGCTTTTAATTTTAATGTCTTCA